TCCTCCCGTGTCCCTGGGCACCCCGGGGTCGGGGGGGGGGTCGGTGGGTGTGGGGCCATGCCCAGCATCCCTCCCTGCTCCCCCCAGGCCGACGGTGCGGGGGCAGCGAGCTGACTCTGCTGACCTGAAGAAGCGACGGATCCACCAGTGCAACTTTGAGGGCTGCAATAAGGTCTACACCAAAAGCTCCCACCTCAAAGCTCACCGGAGGATACACACAGGTAGGGGGCCTGGAGCCACACGCACCCCTGCCTGCCAGGGTCAGGACCAGTGGCCCCCACCCCAGGGATGGGATGGGGTCTGTCCCTGGGCTCAGGGGCAGAGTTGCTGGCACCCTGTGCCAAGCCTGGGGGGCAGTTTGAGGGCTTGGGGAGACTCCCTGAGTGCTGGCACCCTCTGCAAAAACGAGTGCCCTTTGGGCACTCAGGTGGGGTCTTTTGGGAGTGCCAGGAGCCTGTGTCAGGAGTTGGGGGGTCTTTGTGGACACAGGAGGACCCTTTACAGGTGCTGACACCCTCTTGCAGGAGCTGGTGGAGTCCCTTGGGGTCTCAGGATAGCCCTTTTGGGGTGCTGCTACTCCTTGCCGAGATCTTGAGAGGCCTTTTGGGTGCCTGAGGGAGCCTTTTGGGGTGCTGGCACCCTCCACCAGTGGCAGAGGGGGCCCTTGGGTGCACTTTGACAGCACAGCAGGCCTTGGGGGGCACTTGGGCTCCGTGCTGGCCCTTTGGGGGTGGTTGGTAACCAAGCCCTAGGGACCCTCCTACCCCCCAGGTCTGATATATGGGGTGCTCCCTGGGCTGGGGCTCCTCGTCACCCCCAGCACCCTGGGGTCCCGGTGTCCCCACTCAGCACCGCCCAGGGGTGCTAAACCTCTCTCTCCCTCCCTCCCCCGTGCTTCCCTGGCCAGGTGAGAAGCCCTACAAGTGCACCTGGGCCGGCTGCACCTGGAAGTTCGCCCGCTCGGACGAGCTGACCCGGCACTTCCGCAAGCACACGGGGATCAAGCCCTTCTGCTGCTCCGCCTGCGACCGCCGCTTCTCCCGCTCCGACCACCTGGCCCTGCACCGCCCGCGGCACATCATGATGTGAGGACCCCCCCGGGCAAAACGGGGAGGTGGAAAGAGGGGGCTGCAAACGTTCCCCCCCACCCCCGGCATCCCGGCTGCTCCGCGGAGGCACCGTGGGACGGAGGGGCCGAGCCCCGCGAACTGTGGCAGCTCCGAGAGCCCCCGGGCTGCTCCTCCTCCTCTTCCTCCCTGGTTCCCACGTTCTTGGGGCCTTTCCGGGGGTCCGGAGGTCCCTCCTTGACTCCTCACCCGGGACTCGCCCCGCAGCAGCCTCCGGACCCACACACCTCCCTACTCCTCATCCT